TTTTGGTGTCCCTTTAAACCATGGGACTTTCCAGGGATGGGTTTGGTATGGAGGTCATATCCCACTTTTCTACTCGATACATGTGTTTGCGTTGCAAGCTTGTATTGGTGGTATATATACGCATCCGTTGATTCACTCCAACCAAGAATCAGCTTTTCTCTCATTGGTGGTTTGGATTGGTTTCGAGGTTAGGGACAATTTTCCCATCTACCCTCTACAAAAGCCAGGGCTTCAAATCCAAATCCAAAAACCACCAATCCAAACCACCAATCCAAACCAAGAACTCAGGGAACCTGAAAGAGGCCGGTTCCTTTCAGTGTAAACAAAAACAAACAAAAAACGCCGCGGAGCGCGCGTTCTGAAGGTGGAAGCCAAGGTCTTGGCTCTTGCTGGAGGCTCTGGAGCTGCTGTCGCAGCTGGGCGTTCTCACCGGTCAGCCGCTGCTGCATCTGAGGCTGAGCGGCCGAGGCGCAGATCGGGGGCCAAACAAAATCAGTTGGGGGGGGGGGGGGGGGGGGGGGGCGAAATTCATTAGACTGGGGGGGGGGGGGGGGGGGGGGCGGTGTTGTAAAACTATGTTGAGTCATGACCATGGGAACATATTCTTAATTAGAACGGTTATCAGAGGCTGAATCATTAGAATGTGGTTGTGGAGTCATCAAAAAAAGTGTTTGTCGGCCGCCGAGGCTTAGGCAACTTGTGAAGGTGAGCAATCATTAGTTTGACGAATTGGCACCTTTTGGGACGCTGAAGCTGTACGGGCACACGGCTGGCGACAAGGTTGCTAGCAGGCAGCTCTGGCAATCGACGTTTTTGCTTCTTCTTCTTTTTGTGGAGCCTTTTGGGGTTGACTTGTTTTGGCGGGAGCACTCCAAACAAAAAGGGGTTTGGAGGCCACTGAACTGGAAAAGGACCCTGGCACAAGGGTGGAAAGTCGGTCGCGGGAAAACCAAATCGTAAACCTTCATCTGAAGCGACAATGGAGTCTTCGAAAATCGGGAACAAACCTTTCAACAGGACTGAACAAATGGTCCTTGGGAGAAAGTGAGAGTCTGGGTTGGTGTAGCTGACCCCTGCAAAAAGTGGAGAAACCATGCTGCGAGGTGTTCCGGCATCGCTGAAATTAGGCGGTTCAACTTACAACAGAAAGAAGGCATAAAATCAGCTTCCCTCTAATTCGTGCTTTGGTTTGGTGTTTTGGTTGTTAGGGAGTTCCCATGAACCTTCCACACCAACCAGGGGTTCAAATCCCGAAGTTTCCCCAATCTAAACCACTCATTGGGCCTGATAAAGGCATCCGGAGCTTACCCCCCTCTTTGGTCCAAAAGCGAAACACGAAATGAACAAAGCAGGGTTTGCCAAGATCCCTCAAAATCTGAATTTGGGAATTTCACAATCAGCAAGTCGTCTGCGCCGAAAACAAGTTCAGCATCTTTCTGGTGCCGGTTGCGGAAGCGTTTTGTAGGAGCTAACGCTTGAGTACATCGAGTCAGACAGGCCCTCAGTGGATCGCAATTCCACACGCCTGCGTCGGTGCTCGCGCATAGTTTTGGTTCTGAGATTGACGCTCCTGTCAATGCCCATGGTGCAAGCTCTGCACACATCACACGCGTGCTGAATGAGCCACCGGCGCTGGAATCACGATTGGACAACTTGCAAAACTTGGCGGCACCAGGATAGAGAAACCACCCTTTTGGTAGGTAATTGCCGATTCCAATTTCAAGAGAAAACAACCATTCTGTCAACCCCTAAAAAAACACTTTGTCCAATGTTGAGAACACAGCATTTCGTCAACTCCAAAAAAAGCATTGAATTCGTCCAATTTTGAGAATGTAGTGTTTAAAATAATAATAATCATAATAACAATAAATAAAGAACAACAAAACAAATTGTCAACCCCCCAAACATAGAAAACACACCTTAGGAGACCTCCCCAACTCCTCCCCCGACTCGCTCGCTCGCTCTGCCTGCTCATGGGCGTCCTCTCGCTCCGCGAGGCTGTCCAGCTTCTCCTTGCGTCCATCCGGGGTGGCGCTTCCAAGCGGTCAATCGAAAAGCGGCTTTTAGTTAGTTAGTTAGTTCATTTAGTTAGTTAATTTATAAACGGCGGTGTTATGTTATAGTTAGTTAGTTAGTTAATTTATAAACACCTCGGCTTTTAGTTGGCACCTAAAAACCCCAAGGTGGCGTTACTTTTGGTTCCCGAGAGAAATGACCGACCAAAAAGACCGACCAAAAAGGGTGTCCCTAATAAAAGACGCAAAGGAATGTCGGGTTTGCTGGGTCAACCCAGACCTGCCGTCACCCAAGGATGATCATGTCCACCAAAGGGTCCCGAATAAAATTCAGAACCCCAGACTTGCTGGGTGAAAGACAAAAGGTAGAGGTTAGCTAAGATTGGTGGTAAAAGAGGGTAAAATTCAAAGACTGGTTTCACCCTTCAAATCACCCAAGCAACTGTCACTGTGACATAACATGACTCGCTTGGGGGTTGTTGGGTCCCTGAATTTGCTGCTCCACTTTCTGTCACCTGCCACATGTCAAATACACCACCCGTTTCTGGTCGACGAAGGGTGTTGCCACTTGCGAGGTCGATCGTTTTGACAGCCTTATTGAGGGGCCTTCTCCGCGGCAGTGTATGCTTTGGCAAGCATGTCAATGTATTTGTATGGGTTTGTCTTAAAGTAGGGGAACCCCAATGTGGGTTGGTGCCCCTTTTGTTTCCAGTCAAACCAACCTTCCGCAACGACACACCCGTATGCGTTCAAAGTGGCACCTGCAGCGGCCTTTTTCCTGCCAAGCCGGATCCTTCAGCCCAATTCTCTCAAAAGCCGTGGCATGCTTGAGAGGAAACCTACACTTGTTGGCACGAGAAACCTGCTGTGTGAGACCCGGGTGTCAGCCTTGAAAGGACCGCCCTGGTTGAAAACACACAAAATCGCACATGCATGCAACTTCTGATCAGATCTGAAGGTTGGGGGCCAGCGTCATGTGAGTCACAATCAAAACCTGGTATTAAAATAGCCTACCAAGGACCATGCAAAGACTTGAAAAGGCGGCGGCACCTATTGATGGCTGAAATTATCCCTTACTAACCTTCAGCTACCCCGGCTTTGATTGTGGCCAAGGTGAAACCCAACTCTTCGAAAGGAGAAGCCCCGAAATTGAAACGATTACCCTACAAGTCAACATGGAACCCAAGAATGCCACGCAAAAGGAGACTCCTCTATGGATAGGTTTTGAGGTTCCGCGTTAATCTGCAGGAGAGTAGCTTCCAATTGGTGTCCAGTTCAAACCACTCCAAAAGCGCTACCGAGCCTCCTAGGTCCTCCAGTAGAGACGTTTGAATAAGGGTAACCTTTTTTCTGTAGTTTGTTTTAGTAGGGGAACCCTCCCCAAAAAAGAAACGGTAAAGGGCGCTACTGGCCTACCGAGTCTCCAAAAAACGACCGAGCAGTTTGAGACCCGCCTGGTAGAGTTGCTGCTGCCGCGCCTCGATTCAACCAATCCGAAGTTGGGGGCTGACATGGAAAGTAGGAGCTGAAGAATCATTCAGTACAAGGGGCTCTATAATACCACGAATAATACTCACAATCATAGCAATATAATAACAAACGACTAATACTAATGACAATAGTATCAAAATAATAATAACAATAAAGAATAAAAGCATTAATAGAACAACAATATTATTGGCAATGGTAGGAATATTAATAAGAATAACAACGATGATAAGAACAAACACAATAGCAATACTAACAAATAAACAACAGAATAAGAATAGCAATGATCATAACAATAACAATGATAATAATAACAATACTGCGAATGAAAACAATCATGACTGAATTTGGTTGCAAAGGTCCCCAGAACCGCATTCTGGATATTTCGGCCTTTATATCAACAAGTAGAATTGGGGGTGGATGCACCATAAAACTAAATTCGGCCCATGACCATGGAGCATATTGGATTAAAAGAATACCTTGTTGATGTTCTGTTGTACGGGGGTGGTCTCTCCCATGCAAGAGGAAAACCGAATCACTTCAGGAACACCGAAACACCCACCTAGAAATCCACCCGTAGAGGGAATCCCAATCAGATTAATTTGAACAGGGGTCTACGCTGGATGGGTCTTTCATCTGCAAAGTGTCAATAACTTGTCTAGCGCTTGGAATGAAGTGAAAGCTTTCGCTTTCTGCCGAAGAGCAACCAAGTCTTGGGGGTCCTCATGGTAAGAAGTCGCCTTGAAAAGCAATGGACCCTGGAGCCTACAGGGTCCTCTTTCTTAAGGCTACCCTTTTTGGGGCTAAGGGAAACCAAACATGAAAAACCAAAGCCCATGTTTGCGGGTCTGTCAAACAAAAACATAGATTCTTGTCTGAGGAGCGCTGAAACCAGTGCGAAACTCCATGTTGCCCCAAAAAATATCGAACTCTGAGTTGAACAAACTGATACAGGGTCCAGCCCAGAAACCAGACAAGTATCTCACAATTCCGCGCAAGCTACTAGAACTCTAAAACTAAGAGACGCCCCCAGAAAGCGGGTCTTCATGGGTTTTCGCCCGTAGACCCAGAGTGAGTTCAAAGTTGTTTCGCTGCAGAACTTCCGGCCCCCAAACCAGGCAACATGTCCACATCGCTACAACATGCTTTGGTTTCCCGGTTGTTCAAACGACAATGTCTTAGCTAGTTGCTCAAACTAGGGGCCCAGCAAATACTGTGCTTTTTTTGCGAATCGAATGGCCTCCAGGGCGCGGTTGTTCTGCTCCATGACCAACAGCTTCTCCTCCCACGCCTCACCCGAGGACCGGAATTGGGGTGAAGTAGACCCAAACGTTGGGTTTCCACCTAAGGTAAAACCGAGCCAGACCGTTTGGGTGTGTGTGTTTGTGTTTTGATGGCATGGAAATTTGTTGCTGGCTTTTAAAGAGAAGCCACAAGGAAAACCAACATTTTGGGGTGTTTGTTTTCCCCTTGTAAAGAAGACACACCCGGTTAGGCCCCCAACAAACAGGTCAAAGAGGAACAGGTCCGAGCCAAGAAGGCCCATGCTTTGAGACCTCCAGGGCCCGGGAGTGGTGATGCCAGGCGATGTTTTTGAGGACCTTCATTTGATATTGGGGGGGCTTTTGTTCCTGTGCTTCCACACTAACCTGCACTGACGACCATCCTTCCCCGACCCAAACTAAGGAAAATCGAGGAAAGGGACCTTCATCATGGATTCCGAGTCGCTTTACCCCCGGGGGGGGGGGGGGCAATTTCATTTTCAGCCAGAAAGGAAAACTGTCCAAAGGCGGAGCCTCAGCAAAAACTGCTGGTAGTTGCAACTCTCAAAAAATGACAAGGACGAGAACCAAACACCAGCAACAAATGGGTGTATCTGTTGTGGGGGGCAAACCGGCAAACCCCGTTTGACTGGCTTTCGGGGCAAGCCAAAGGGAAGATTACCGTTTGAGGGTTGCCTATTTTGAGAAAACACAAACCAGCACCTGCAAGTGCTGTCAAATGAAATGGTACCCAAAGTGCCTTGTGGGGATTTTCGGGGCAAATGGCCATCCCTTGGCAGGTGCTTGAGGTTTGAACAATGCTTAGGGTGCCACGGCATTTAAATAACCATTCTTCTGACGAGGCCATTCTTTTTTTTTTGGGGGGGGGGGGTTCAAACAACCGTTTTTCTCCGCGACAAAACGGGGCCATGGGTCGATTTGTTCTGCGCCTTCGCCTCTCGGTGCCGCTTCTGACGCTCCTCCTGCAGCTGCAGGCGATGCTGTGCCAACTCCTAGCGCGGGTGCAAACGTCAGCAAAAACCGAGCACCTTTGCCAGAAAAAGGAACATATACAGAGACCATAAAAACTGGACACTCTAGATTTTGGATTAAAGTTTCCTTAGGGCCCTATTGGGAAAACAGAGAGAGCCTAGGGAGTTTTGAAGAACGAAGCCTAAACTTCTTAATAAACATTTCCTCATGGAAGTATAAAGGAAATCCAACAAGGGACATGCTCATTTCCTGAGTGGATTGGCCAAAACGCGTCCCTACTTCTTGTCTACTGTTTTGTTCTTTTCCCCAGAAGCTGAAAGACCAAAACGGGAAACCTTCGCCAAAAAACCAAAGGCCCTCCATGCCCTAAATGAACCGATCCGAGGAATAGCCGAATGTCTGTCCCAGCAAATGGGTGTTTCAAGAAAAAACATAATGAAATGAACCCCCAACAAGGAATGGACAAGCCATGAGAAGACCCACTTTCTGAGGGCAACGGCTCCCTGCTGACGCCAAAGGAGTGTATGATGTGAGAAATCAAAACCAACTCGGCACCAAGGGAGCCTGCAAGCGTCAAAAGGGCGGATATGCGCATAGCTGGGACTGGGTTTGATTGCGACAGTGGGGTGAACTGCTGTGGCCCAGTGTCCCAAAAGCAACCGATTCATGGCTATTGGCCCGCTTGAAGCCAGGATGGTCCTGTTGCACCCCGTTTGTGGGACCTGCATTGTAAGGCTGTCCATGCACGCGTCCAAGAAAAGTCGTCAAAGACAAGGAAAGTGCTTGCAACAAGGGACTTTTTCCAAGAACGGATTCTTCATGGGCCCTTTTTCACACCCCAAAACTGTTCGAGGTCTTTATGTCCTGCCCCAGACTTGAAACCTGGGGCTTTCTTAAATAGGACCCCCCCCCCCTGCCCCAACACTATCATGAACAATCACCACAATCTGGCAACCAATCTTAGTGTATCTAAATGTTCATCATCCACTGGGCCCTTTTTCGAATTTTCAACTGGGCACCCTCAAGCCGGGCATGGGTTCGGTTACCAGCCGAGCTCCTCGGAAAGGCGCCGCGTCTCCTGAATGGAAACTCCGACAGACCTGGGGAGTTCCAACTGGTGAAACCCCTTGCGATCAGTGCGATGCCAGGTAGGGAATGACGGGCGTTGGTTGAATAAACCGGCTTTGGGGATTCCCGAATACAGGAAACCGTCGGATTCCCGGCTGAGAACCGGCAAGTGTTGGATGCTTTGTAAGGGCAACGGGAAAACAAACAAGGAGGAGTCCCATTTTGAGAGACACCCAACTCACTTCCCCACCAAATCGGTTCTGTTTCCACTCATATTCAAAGTCACCAAGAGGAATGGCAAAAACAACTCTCCTGGCTTGCTCCCCAACAAATCTCAAAGGGCTTCCACCGGGGTTGGGCAAAATGATTTTGAACAACCAATTATTGGTTTCCCTAATTTGCGGGGCATGGGGCAATCATCTGCACTGAGTACTCCGATCCACCAGCCGGAAACGAGCTATCCCCCAGGAGTGGGGCGCGAGCTGGTTCTATCCCCTTTCAGTCGCATTCGTCCTTTGAAGAACCCAGAAACATCCCACATCTCGCCTACCTTTCTGCGGAAGGTGGTGGGGCTCAAGTTTCTAGACTAGCCCACAAAAAGCAGCATGGGCTACCAGAAATGGAAACCCAGGGTAGTTTGAAAAAAAATGTTAGGCCCTACATGACTAACAAGGCGTTTCGGGTATTTCAAAACTGAACTGCATTGTGATGGGGGCAGAATCGTGGCCGGAAAGCAAGGATGGAAGCGAGCGGATGAGGAAGGACATGACATCTCTTTCTCTCTTGTAGACGCTGAGGTACAAAGAGAAGGAAGGCGAGTCACTCTTGTCTGTCCGCACCCTTCGTCTGTCTGACAATGCTAGGAAACGAGACGAGTGGACGGGAAAGACAGCCACCGTGAAACCAGAATTACTTGAGAAAAAAAGGTGGCTGGCAGAGTATCACTCACTCGTTTAAAAAAAAAAAAAAAAAAAACTTGACATGACATGGAGGATATTACAGACATAACTGGGAGATAGAATATGTTCCTTTCGTTCACTCTATCCTCAAACCGTCGTATGTCTCTTCTATCGATTACGACACGGGGGCATAAAACCAAAAATGTAAAGTCGATGATTTACAAATATCTGTATGTAACCAAGCAGTATGTACATTTGTATATATATATATATATATGGATCATTGACTGCCAAGGGGAAGAAGAAATCATCCAAGAAGCATTTTCGTGGACACTCACTCACATATCTGTCTCTTGCCGTACATGTCTCCATGTTAATAATCTCTGTTCCTATCTTTGTTTACCTAATCATCATGTTGACTTGCACTTATTTGTCAGCTGCCATCATATTATCATTCCCAAACAAGGACTAATTGCTCACCAGAAGAATCTTGTCCTATCCTTTCCCTTTATGATTCTGGCGCACAGCAGGTGTCTTTCCGAACAATCTCAGAAATACCTAAAAACAAGGAGACAAGGAGATATCGGACAGAGAAATAGTACGTTATAGAAACCTAAGGACTGTTAACGCCTGGTCTGGATAAGACTCCTCTATTCAACAGTCTTGCCGCTGCAGCTGGGACTAGATTTCGTGGTCTCTTTCCTTACACCTCCAAGGCTCTACTTTCTCCAGCCGCTATGACGTGGGGAATAGAAAGGCTTAAGTGAAGGCATGGAGAGAGGTGAGAAAGGCGGGAAGAGGGCCATCACCCATTATTTTATCTATCTTCTCTCCCCATCTTTCCCATTCAACCGCGGCGAGCACTCTTCTTCCTACCTTGCCTTTCTTTCCTGAGACTATTGATTGGTGAGAGACGTAGGAAGAGATAGCGGTTGAAAGGATTTCTTGTTCATAGTGCCTGTCAAAAAGCGACAAAGAATGAGACGGGCCATCCATGTCCTTTCGTCTCTACGTATATGTTTTTTATGTAATAGAATTGTAATAGTTAAGGAAAGGATACAGAAGGGACGCTTTGGGGGCTGCATTTTTCAGATTCCTGGGGCTGCGTGTTCATCAATAACCGACCAACAAAACAACAAAAGCAACCCTCCAAAAAAAAAAAAGAAACGGAAAACCAAGCCCATCATCTTCATCTGCTCGTTCAAGGCCTGCGGTTGTTGTTTTCAACAAAAAAACACTCAAGAAACAAGCCCATCATCTTCATCTGCCTGTTCGAGACCTGGGGTTGTTTTTTTGTGGTTTTGATTTTTGGTTTTTGGTGTTGGGAGGCTAAAAATCAAAGGCCAAATAATTTGCTTGCGTTTGCTTAGGGAAAAAACATAATCTTCGTCTGCTCGTTCGAGACCTGGGGTTGGATAGAATTATCATTTTTACAGAGACTCATTCTAATTCAACTTCTACTTAAAATAAGCTCAGGTGATATCCCCAACAGCATGCGGTGCTCTTTTTAGTGCTCGCACCACCCCGACCTCGCGGAACCCTGGTGGAACCCTGGTGGAACCCTCGTGGAACCTTACCTCAGGGCCGCCCCGGACCACCCCAGAGCCTATCTGGGCTGAGACCCCAAAGCTTTCAGCTGTTGGGGAAAAAGAAGTTGTGATTGGGTTCGTTCCTCATCAGTGACTGGATTCATTCTTTGTCACATGCTATTTAAACTCTATATCATAGGATCTAATTGCAAAGTTGTATTGGAAAAGGATCTCCATCTAGAGTCTAAATGTAAGATGCAATTCGCAATAGGATGCTGATCAAGTAATTCCTTATTGTCTCCCAATTAAATCCTGTTCTTCAAACTGAATCTTGAAGAGCGGCTGTTAAGGAAGGTGTGAATTAAACTTGCTACAAAACAATGTGTTTTACGGCGGTTTCTGACCATGGTAGTGCTGGGGCGAGTAAGCAAAACAACACAATTTGGGGACCTCTGAATTCCTTTCCTTATGAGTTAATACATTTATCAAATTTCTGACTGAAAATATGTAGACGTTAATACAAGAACAGACTCCAATCAGAATTTGTATGTTAAAGTAGCATCTGAATATTGTTATATACTTCAACTTAAATGTTACACAGGAACATGTATTCAACAGTTTCGGGACCGCTAGTTTATTTCCTTATGAATGCTACTTCATATACCTGTCAAGTTCTACCTAATTGCTATCTCACATCAAATGGCATGTAATAAGGTCAGAATCCAACCGTGTTGTTGAATTAGAAT